CAATGAGTGACGTATACGCGCGAGAGATCACTTCCGGCGCTTGCGTAAACTCGTAAACTACGCCAGAGCGCATACACACCTCACGCACCGGATGCCGTGCGCTCAAAGCAGTTGGACATAGTGGTGTATTAGAGGTAAAAAAATTATATAAATACTGTTCGGTTTCTGGCACAAACCGATCGTTTCGTGTCTTAGGACATCAATGTGTCGTCACGAGCCGCAGGGTTTAATTTGGATTTGTCTGTGCATGTTTTTTTTACTCTCATAGATTTTGTTATCATTGCCATGCATTATACGACTGATAGACTGCAACGGTTAAAGTTAAAGATCATCATATGTGTTCTACTGAAGAAACAAAGTCACCTACATCTTGGATGCCCTGGGGGTAAGCAGATAAACACCAAATTTTCATTTTTGGGTGAACTATCCCTTTAAGTCTTTATAAGGTGTGTTTAGCCATAACAATCCTAGTCATAAAAACATTGTGTGGGTGACATTCAGTATTCAGGATTAATGATACACTACAGGTCAAAAGTTTGGAATCATTAAAATAAATCAATAACAGTAAAATTGTGAAATATTATTAGAATTTATAATAAATGCTTTCTATTTTAACATTTTAAAATGTAATTTATTTCTGTGATGCAAAGCTGAGTTTTCAGCATCATTACTCCAGTCTTCAATGTCACATGATCCTTCAGAAATCATTCTAATATGCTCAAGAAACAGTTCTTATTTCATCTCTCATTTCTTACTCCTATTTATCAATGTTGAAACATTTTTCTGTTTCTTTTTATTTCTTTTTATTAGATATCCATGAGTAACTAAACCCGCTTTACCCAATGCATACAACATGTTGACTGCAAGGAAGGCATGCGTGTCTTTGACAGCCAGACGACTTCTGGGGGCATCTGTATCTTCGACCCTTGACCCCCAGCGTCACCCTAGAGCGCTCCGTACCGCCGCCCCACACAGAGATGAAGTGAAGCTCCACGAGGGCTGGGCTGCCCTGGCCAAGAAGCAGCTGAAAGGGAAAAACCCTGAGGATCTGATCTGGAGGACCCCAGAAGGCATCTCTATTAAACCTGTATACACTCAGACAGACACCGCCGCGGTCCAAGATGAGCTGCCGGGAGTCTTCCCATTCACCCGAGGGCCTTACCCCACCATGTACACCTACAGACCCTGGACCATCAGGCAATATGCTGGATTCAGCACTGTAGAGGAAAGCAACAAGTTTTACAGGGATAATATCAAAGGTATGATGTCACAGCATTAAAACTACTACTACTAAATTATATATTAAGTTATATAGTAATACTGTCATAAAAAAATATAAAATAAAATAAATAACTTTAAAATAAACAGTCAAAATAAAACATTGAATATATATTATATATACATATACATATATATATATATATATATATATATGTATATGAAGAGTTTATTTGCAAAAACAGAAAACTTTTTTTTTTTTTTTAATCACATTTTTTATTATGTTGTCATGTTTTTATTGTTAGTTAGCTGTATTTTTTAGGTTTTTATTTTTAACCTAATCAAAATAACCCAACTGCAGTTTGATTGAGATTAATTGGAATGCACAATGAAAAAACATGATTTTTGAAAATTGTAAAAAAAAAAATGTTTGCAAAAAATGTTTTTCGAGTTCAGTTTTTGCAAATGAACTCATATATATATATATATATAAACACGTACTAAAAAGATATATATATAAAAAAGATATTTTATAAATATATAAAATAAAATAAAAATTATAATATTAAAATGAAAAATTTGATCATACAAATATTGTTTATTTGCATGCCATGTGACCATGAATGTGTTGTTGAATTATTATACAATATTAACTTAAGATCTCAGAGGAGCTGCTAATAAATATTTAGGTCAAGGTTTGGCTCACAAAAATCTTTGCTATAAGTCAAATACAAACTGTTTTTCCTTTGCAGCGGGCCAGCAGGGCCTTTCTGTAGCTTTTGACCTTGCGACACACAGAGGTTATGACTCTGACAATCCCAGAGTTCATGGGGATGTGGGAATGGCAGGGGTAGCTATTGACACCGTAGAAGACACCAAACTGCTGTTCGACGGCATCCCGCTGGAGAAGATGTCGGTATCCATGACAATGAACGGAGCCGTCATTCCCATTCTAGCCATGTTCATCGTGACCGGAGAAGAGCAAGGAGTGCCCAAGGAGAAGCTGACCGGCACCATCCAGAACGACATCCTCAAAGAGTTCATGGTGCGAAACACCTACATCTTCCCTCCAGAGCCGTCAATGCACGCCATCGCTGATATCTTCGCCTACACCTCAAAGGTACGGCTTGAGTGGCAGGACTTTTATATCTTTTTTTATATAGTCCACTGTCCGTTTTTAAAGTGCTCAGATTGTTTTTTTTTTTTAAATCGCTCATATTTCTTTTTATTTTTTATTCTTCCAGTGACTTGAGTATGATAGAGTACTCAAATACTCAATGATAGAGTATTCAGCATCCTAGCACGTGCTTTTTACAGCCTTGTAGTTTTGACCATCTTTATAGAATTAATATTCAGACGGTATCTGACCTCCACACTCTGTAAAACATTGGATTTTCTTTCTTACAGAATATGCCCAAGTTTAATTCTATTTCCATCAGTGGATACCACATACAGGAAGCTGGAGCTGATGCCATCCTGGAGTTGGCTTACACTATTGCCAACGGACTGGAGTACTGCAGAACTGGACTGAAGGCTGGACTCACCATCGATGAGTTCGCTCCCAGGTTAGCTTGGAAATTCACTTTGTCAGTTCCATATTCTTTTACTTCTCTTCTTAATAATAGTGGACCATTTTCACAAGACTGTGATGATGCGTTTCAACGTAAAATTTAAAAAATATATATTTTTTTAAAAATGTATGTACATTTATAACACTATACTTTGTTTTCTATCACCTTTGCATCAAATTACAAAAAAAGAAAAAAAAAAAAAAAAACTAGTTAACGCTAATGCGAGGGTGTGTCTAATGCAGCGTCTATGGGAGGGACGGTAAATTGAATATAACTGCCGTTATCAGTCTCTCTCAATTTTTTCCCTTCTTTTGAAAGTCGTGAAAACGCTTTTCTTTTGCATTTTGAACAAAAGGGAATGCAAAAAAAAATATTTGTTGTACTCTCCCATTCACTGCCCTCGAAGTTTACCCAGCTTTGACGACTTCCGTTTCTGAGAAACCCGTAAATGTGAAAAAGGTCTATAATAATAATAATACTTGTTAAATAATATTATGCAATGCAATGTGGTAATGATAATAATAATAAAATAAGAAAGTAGTAGTAATAATAATACTGTACATATTATTAATTCATGATTTATGATTAATACAAATTTGAATTACTGGATTTTTGCTAATTAATTAAATATATAAAAAAATGTAATAAAGTATTAAATGTGATATTATTATTACTATTATTATTAATGATAGTTGTTATTATTAAAAATTATTTATTAATAATAAATACATATTAAATTATATATTACAAAATACATGAATAATAATTATCATACTGAGTATAAAATAATGAATACTACTATTAATACTAGTAATAGAAGTGCATTTTAATAATTCATCTATTTTATTGTTTCATTGATACCATTTTAATTTATTCCTTTTTTATGAATACAATTATATTCAATTGTATTGATTGTATAAATGTTATTAAATATTATTATTGCTATTACTAATACTAAATGTGAGTACATTATGAATTCAATTACTATAATTTTATTTAATGCATATTAGTTAATACATTACAAAGATGGTAATTAGGATTATATGGTAATCTAGCATTTTATACTACAAATGAATGATTATAATACTATTGATAAATTATTATTATTATTGCACTTCTACTACTAATAGAAATACATATTAAATTGTGTTGTTTAAATAAATATTCATCTAATTATTGATATTATTCTATTACTACTTTTACATATACATATTATTTCTAATTAATTCAACTACTATAATTATTATTAATAATACATTATAAAAATAATAATGATAATTCTAATAACAACGAAGAATAACACAGCTGATGTATTGGTTTTCTAAAGGTTTCATATACAGTATGAAGGCATGCAGTGTGATTTTTATGCATGATCTCTTTTTAGATTGTCATTCTTCTGGGGGATCGGCATGAACTTTTATATGGAAATAGCAAAGCTGAGGGCAGCGCGGCGATTGTGGGCGACACTTATCAAAGAGAAGTTCCAACCCAAGAACTCCAAATCCCTCCTGCTGAGAACTCACTGTCAGACATCAGGATGGTCCCTCACTGAGCAGGTACTGTCACTGAACTCGGCTCAAACTGTTCATACTTGCTTTTTGTCACATTAAACAAGCTGTGGTGCAGTAAAGTGTAAAAGTGTTAAATCACATTTTTGACATACAATACATGATATGTTGTCCGTTTCTTAAAGGGGTCATCGGATGCCCATTTTCCACAAGTTGATATGATTCTTTAGGGTCTTAATGAAAAGTCTATAACATACATTGGTTAAAATTTCTCAATGGTAGTGTAAAAAACACCTTTTTTACCCTGTCAAAACCTGCTCCGTTTTCAGCAAGCCATTTTAGTCCATGTTGCTTTAAATGCTAATGAGCTCTGCTGACCCCGCCCCTCTCTTCTGTGGGGTGACGAGCAGACTGTAAACTTCAGCCGTGAAACTGGCTAACCAGCATGTTATTAGGAAAGGCGATTTGCAAAGATTCATAAAAAACCCTTATACTCACTTCTTCTGTTGATGAAGCTGGATCACGAATGATTCGCGCGAACATAGACGCATTTAGGCAGATCGGGATCGGCGCATTCCCTTCAAAACGAAAGTAACATTAATCCTCTGAGACTTCCGCGGCTCAGATGTCGGGAGTAAACAACGACAACATTATTACATCCAACAACAAAACACCTCAATCGCTTAATCGGAGACGTTCTTGTCTTCCCCTGCACCGGAGTCGACACAATGGCGGACTGATGACAGCTCACTCAGGGCGGGTCTAAGGTAAGACGCCAGTCCAGTCTGTGCTGAAACGCTACTGTCAATCAACTATCGTGGGAGGGGCCTGTGCAGAACTACGTCATTCTGACAGGAATCTGAGAACAGCCTGATTTGAGAAAGGGGATTTTAAAATAGGGATTTAAAAAAAAACACGGGGTGGATTTTTATCATTATAGGATGGATGTGTACACACACTTCCAACACACATTTATGTTCAAACAACTTGTAAAGTGAATTTCGCATCCGATGACCCCTTTAAATTTCTGTGATGATATGCTGGGTAGCTGTGTCCGTAGGTGAAATATCATTTTCCAAAATGCTGCTGTATTTTGAACAAATTATGTTCTGATGGGTCTGATTAAATCTGCCTCATTTGCTCTTCAGGACCCTTACAACAATGTGATCCGTACCGTGATTGAGGCCATGGCTGCAGTGTTTGGAGGCACACAGTCTCTGCACACAAACTCTTTTGACGAGGCTCTGGGTCTGCCCACCGTCAAGAGCGCCCGCATCGCCCGCAATACACAGATCATCATCCAGGAGGAGTCGGGCATCCCGAAGGTGGCTGACCCCTGGGGTGGGTCCTACATGATGGAGGCCCTCACCAATGACGTGTACAACTCAGCACTCAAGGTTTGTACTATAGAGAACCACTCATTAAAAAAACTTCTATTATCTTGGTAAACTTTCTGTAATCTGTTCATATTTATGTGTTTTGCATCATAATAAATGGTGACAACTGTATTTAATTATAATCTGTGGTAATGGATTTTTATCCTCATATGTCTGCATAATAAAAAAACACCTGACTTTATATCTAGATCTGTAATTAAACACTTTATAAACACATCAAATGATTAATGACAACATACACTGTAGAAATTTTGGCTGATACAAATTTTGATGTTATGGTTGGTAATTGATATGATCTAGCCAGTATTAAAAGTCTGTATTTTTATAATAATATTATAACTACTATAATTAATAATAAACTAAAATAAATAAATAAACATTACAATTAAAATAAATAATAAATATGGTGGATGGCTAATATGGTCAATATAAATGATTATTATTAATAATAATAATAATAATATCATTATGAATTGCATTATTATTATTATACATGCATGTTAAATATTACATAGTACATGTAAAATAATAATGATAATAAAATAATTGATACATTTAATCATAATGATGATAGAAGTACATATTTGTAATAAATCTATTTTGTTTTATTAATACAGTTTTAATTTAAGCTGCAGAGATGCTTTACACCTGAAATTGAATTCATTTCATAATTAGTGAAATTTGCAACATTTGTTATTTTCCTGTTTAGGCTTTGAAACAATCTGTATTGTATTATAAGTGATATATAAATAAATGTGACTTGACTTATTAATTTATTAAATTGTATAAATATTATTACTATTATTATTACAAATAAAATAATTTGTTATTTGAATTTATTGAAATTAATACTAATTTAGAATGTAATATCCTTATTATTATTATTATTATTATGATAAAATAACAGTAATTCCTGGATTTATAAAAATAAGCAGTTACTTAAAGTAAGCCTTGATATTCCTACTCTGAAGCACTCTGATTTGTTACTGAGTAGGCAGTAATATCTGTGATATTTGTGTGTGTTTACACGAGTTCTGTTCTCTTTGCGTCTCGTTTAGTTCATCACTGAGATTGAGGACATGGGCGGTATGGCTCGTGCTGTAGCTGAGGGAATTCCCAAACTGCGCATCGAGGAATGTGCCGCCCGCAGACAAGCGCGCATTGATTCAGGTATCAAAGCAAAACACTCATATACACATGACTGAATACATGATTACAGCCCAGGACACGTGACTAATGTCCCATTTAACTAAAGTGCTACTTCAGAAACTTCCATGAGTAATGGAAGTGGTCTCGACTAGTCATATGCATTAAAAACGTCTCCAGTTACCGTCGTAACCTCGATTCCCTGAGAGACGGGAACGAGACATGGCGTCACAAGCTGACGCTTTGGGTACTCCCTTCCTTCCTAAACCTACCTGAAATCTTATAGCACAACGCCAGTGAAGTTGCAACTCACACTGGCCAATGCCAGCCAAGACGGCGATTAGGGGCTGGGCCCCCGCCGCTATATAATGCGCCGTCTTGGCGGCATAAGCTCAGAATCTTCAGACTGAACCAACAGCTCCACAGACCTTAGCAGTGAACATGGCAGCCTACACCATGTCTCGTTCCTGTCTCTCAGGGAACTAAGGTTACGACAGTAACCGGAGACGTTCCCTCGAGAACGGTTCACTCGACATGGCGTCAGAAGCTGACGCTTTGGGGACTGTATAGAACAGTGGTTCTCAACTGGTTTGGCCTTGGGACCCACGTTACAGTACAGTACTCCCCCATCTGAGGGTTGTCCCCCTAAAAATATGATTAAAAACCACGCTGTGTATTGTAAATAACAATGTTTTATACTTTAAATAATTGTGTAAGTAGTAAAACAACACAAACGGGGCAAAAATGTGTTTTAA